AAAAAAAAAAAAAAAAAAAAACTAAGGAACCCCATCTAAGTTCTGTCCATGTTTGATTGCCTTCGAACACCCAAGTCGGGAACAAGAGGGTCATACAAGAACCTTTCCGAGACAGAGTATAACTTTGTACAAGTTTCATTAATCAATAAATCTCCATCCTCCACTAGAAAAAGGGGACAAAGAAAGAAGAATAAAAAATTAAAAAAAAATTCTAGAACCTGCTACATAAACAGTGAATTACAAGTAAGTAGCATACATTAAACCTCGTAACTTCATACGACAATCTCACAATTTCCCGATTTTCCAACACTCAGCAAAACCAAAACTGCGATATACTTAGAAGACGAGGCATCAGCTTGTTACCTAGAAGAACTTTTCCCAGTTCGTTCAATCCCGGAATCGCCCTCAGTATCAGCGTATTCTAGTACATCAAAACGAAAACCATAGTTCCAACCATTAGCGCTTCCCAAAAGACACAAAAAAACACGAGAATCCCCACTTAATGCAAAAATTGAAGGCGCGCGAAGACCTGCTTATCAAGCGGGTGGCGAAACTCGTCGGCGTCGAGGTTCCGGAAGACGACGGCGGAGCCTGCTCTGCAAACGGGGATTATGCCGATCCTGCGGTTGCTCCGAGCCTTTGGGAAGGCGATGGCCGAAGCGCCCCCGAACCTGGAGGCGTCCGAAGCTAGGAAGCGGAGGGAGGGTTTGTGGAAGTGGCAGAGAGAGGAGAAAGGCGTGGACGCCATTGAGTTGAAGAGACGCGGGTTTGCTATGGTTGGGAATAGTGGCTTGTTTGGGGGTGGAATATGAGTTTAAGATTGTCGTTAATGTTAAGTGTTAACGTAAGGGTAGTTGTGACCACAGCCATGCCTATGGTACATGTTTCGCGCCACTTCATTTTCTGTTGACTATTTCACTTCGTTAACCAATGGGAGCGCACCTTCCATTTCTATGAAATTACATTTTCACACACGTCTTTTGTTTCGCATATGAGTAATCATTTAACTTCCGAATCTTTTATCCGAAATTTCGTCCGAATATTAAAATAATAATATTTTTTAATAAATTTATTATAAAAATGATTTTAAAATAAATTTATTAAAAATATATTATTATTTTAATATTTGGACGGAATTTCGGACAAAAGTTCGGTGACTGTATCAATACTCTTCGCATATATTTTGGTAACCTCATCTCTACTTTCCTTCCTTTTTAGTAGATTATTATATTTTTTAAATTAAAAAAAATTATATTTTTTTAAATAATTATTTATAATTTTTAATATTTATTTATGTATAATTATTAAAAATACGAAGTTTCCCGACTCCTTTAATATTAAATAAAAAATAATAATTTTTATTAAATAATTACTCTCCCAACCGTTGAAAAGAGTTTGATAGAAATTATTGAATTTAATATTAAATTGTTCGAACAATATTTAAATGGACAGTATTTAGATGTAAAAAAATTTAACATTGCTGTATGTTAAATCAAATTTTTTAAATTTAAATAATTAGCGGTTAACTGTGGGTTTACATATAATTTATATTTTTAAAATTATTATTATAAATAACAAATCATTTGTTGTAAATGATAAATAAAGACATGATTCATGATAAAAATAAGTTACTGTCATAGAATTTTTTTTTTTATTCTAAAGTAAGAGATTATGTGTTTCTATTTTGTTTTTTAGTTTTTTTTTTCTGGATTTTTTTTCCTTTTCTAAGATGCCAATAAGAAAACCTGCAACTATGCCTAATATTTTAGAAAATTACACTTGATAAAGTTATTTTTTATGTTCCAAGTAAAATAAGGTTCTAACGATCTAAACATGGTAAACAATTGAAATAAATTTGTTCAAATCATTTTAAAAAATTGCAGCTAAAGAACCAATATTTCTAGTCATTGTTGTTATTTGCTTATTTGTTTCTGATTTTTTAATCCTTGCTCTCAATACACGATGGTGTTGTATGTTAAAAAGCAGCATAGGCTTAGTGACCAAAAGAGAGATATTCGTCTAATTTATAGAACTCTAATCCATCATAGTCCCTTTTGAACGTTAGACAAATATGCTAGAATCATGGTACTATATCCGCAATAGATTGAATCAACATCAATAATGGATCACATAATTCAGAATATGTTAACTACTTAATAGAGGAGAAAAATTAGGAGCGTATATGCCCACCGTGGAAATTGAAGGCACGTTGCTTCCATTTATCATATTGTTGCACTGTTAAAAAAAAAAAAGTGTTTATGCCAATATTCTCTCACTTGGTCCATTTATCTAATTATCAATCAAAATAAGAAACCAAATATATGAACCATGTGATAGGTCCTTTTGATAATGAGTATTATCTATCATGTATCATAATATATTAAGTCTTTCATCATAAACTCTTAACTCTAATAAATAAACCATATATTTATTCTAATCAATCATACAAATACAAAAAAAATTCTATGGGTATATTTCATCACATTACATATAATTAATTATAATTAATGTATTTAATGTGACTTTTAAATGTATATATAATTTTAACTAATTAAAGATGTTGTGACTATTCTCTAATTTATTAAAATTATATGTATCACTAAACATATATTTTCTAAAAGAACCTTATGTTTGTTTTAATATCAAATAAAAATTCATGTATACAAAGAACCATAGGATGAACATATAATATTTAAAACTTATTATACTTAATTTTCAAATAAATATACAAAGCAGTAAACACATAAAAGGTATAAAGCCCTAATTCAAAGTAAACGAGAAAGGCATAAAGAAACTTCCCACTTAATAAGATGCATCAGAATTCAAAAAATCCTTTTAATAATATGTACGTACACATAAGGCCACAAAAGAAGTAAACCTAAGGCCACAAAAGAAACGTAATCCTTTTACAATCATTTAATAATATATGCAGTACACCTAAGGCCACAAAAGAAACATAATCCTTTTACAATCATTTAATAATATGTGCAATGCACCTAAGGCCACAAAAGAAACGTTTACATCATTTAAAAAAATTGTCGAAGCTTAAGAACTAATCTCCGGTCATTGTTGTTGTTTGCTTGTTTGTTTCTGATTTCCAAATCCTTACTCTCAATACACAATGGTGTTGTATGTGTAACAACTGGCCAGATCTCACACAATCTATAGCATTAGGAGAAATACTAACATGTATTTTCCTTATCATACACAATGCATAAAATAACACATCATAATTAAACAGTTATAAACATATTAGGAAATAACAAGTAATGTCCCATATACATATATATGATTAATAATTTAATGTGTTATTCTATACAAAAAGACTGACGGTCTATAACTGAAATTTTCACAACAAAAGCCTCAGCTCTCCTACTGAGTTTCACTAGAGTCTGTTAACCCGTCACAGCACCACCTACCCCTGATCTGCTCGCATACAATGTATGGTCATGGTAGTCCCAATCCACAAGGGAAAACATGTAACGTAGTAAGTTATTTCAAAAGGCCCAAAAGCCCAATATGGGTGATTTAGTAGCCCAGAACGAGTCGTTCCCAATCTGGAACGGGCCGTTCCAAACTACTAAATTGACTTGTAAATCGTAGTTGAGAACGGACCGTTCTGGATGGAGAACGGGCCGTTCTGGATGGAGAACAGGCCGTTCTGGATGGAGAACGGGCCGTTTTGGATGAATCCCAGAACGAACTGTTCTGGTTTCAGAACGGGCTATTCTGCATGTGATTTTTTTGCACATGATAAAGGGGTGCAGAACGGACCATTTTGGATTCGGAACAGGCCGTTCTGGCCACTCCTGAACTTCTATAAATAGGGGTTGTGTGGTTGAGGAGAAAGTGAAGTTTTTAGAGAGAAGTTTTAGAGAGAAGGACTCTAGGTCTCTATGAGCTCCTTTCTCTCCCAAATTTCTCTGTATGATTCCTTTTCTCCTCTAGATCACTAATGCCTTCTGTCTTTTCTTGAAATTCAGATTAGGAAGCTTGCTTTGGGAGGATTGAAGTTCCGGGTTGAGCTTTGGAAGGGAATTATACTTCTTTTCAGTTATTGGCTATTTTGAGCTAATCTTCAGGTGAGGGAAGCTATAATGTTTGTTGTTTAAGTTGCATGTGAGTTTAGAAACTCAATTGATGCATGAAAGTTGAGGATCCATGGCTGGATCGGAGAATTTGCTCATTTTTCGGGATTTTGGGAAAAATGGGATTTTTGGTGAATTTGATGCATCAGATGGGTGCATGTTGATTTTGAGTTTGTTTTGTGTTGTATGGAGCCTATGCATTGTGTTTTTGTGTTTGCATATGGTTGGATTTGTTAATTTGGATGAGAGTTTTGAACTCTCTGACTGGGATTAGGCTAGGCGCAGGTTGAGCACGCCAGACGTGGAAGAGCTTAGGGCTCTCGGGTTGGATGTTGGGCCAGGCGTGATTTAGTTGCGTCAGGCATGGAGACTCTTAGGAGTCTCTGTCTCAAGGACACCGAGCGTGAGTTGAACGCGCCGGGCGTGAATATGTTTATGAATGAAAAATGATGCTAATGCATGTTAAGTTGAAGTTTTGGATCATGTATGTATGATATATGATGTATGGTGAGGTGTGATTCATATGTATGCATAGTGATGATATATATGAATGTTTAAATGATATGGCATGAGTATATGTTCATATGTGTATGATTATTGATCATAATAGTGGGTAGACCATGTATGTTGTATGATGCATTATTGCATGTGATGTCTTATGACATGTGTATGATTGTTGATCATGATGGTGGGTAGACCATGTATGATGTATGATGCATTATTGCATGTGATGTCTTATGACATGTGTATGATTATTGATCATAATGGTGGGTAGACCATGTATGATGTATGATGCATTATTGCATGTGATGTCTTATGACATGTGTATGATTGTTGATCATGATGGTGGGCAGACCATGTATGATGTATGATGCATAATTGCATGTGATGC